AGGGCTTAGTCTGAGTGCAGGTTGCAGAAAGTCCAATCTCCTCCAAAATTCAAGGGAACTCCACTACAAGAGGGAGGCCAGAATGCATAGTGATTGACTAGAAGAAAACATCTGAACAAAGTAATATTGAAATAAGAAAAACTAAACAAAGTCAATAATAAATACCCTATACTCACGATAAACTACAATCAGGAATTAGTACAGTAAGGCAAAACCTAAAAAAAGGCTACCAAACCTGGGGTCGATCCAACAAATAGATAATAGTAGGCCTGTTATGTTGTGTTAAATTGTACATATCAAATGTAAAAAGTTGGCTGCCAAAACTCAACCTCTTAGAGATTTTTTTACATTTATATCAATTGTTTGTGGGCGATATAGGCGCATTTTGGGTTCACCAATAATACATGTTAAAACTAGATACAGCACAAATTAATGGTGTCCCGAGTGTATTGTCAAGCTTTATGGTTCAATAAGTGTCCAACAAGTGGAATATGCTTTCCCTCTAAGCTATTGCTTTCGAAGGGAACCCTTTGCAAGCCAGACTCGGGAAAATACTGTGATACCTGCCATATGAATAAAGTATTTCACCAGTGGCATATATGGCAGTCAACATGTTAAATCTTGACTTCGTGTGTTAACACTCACAAATAAACAACAAAAGTGTCTAAAATCTACAAAAGCTGTGATTATTATACAAGCAGGATTTGATTACTTACTCTTTGTTATTATAATCTTCATCTACGATAAGACACCTGCCCAAACGGTTCGCATTATCATGGGTATCACTGCATTCAATGTCTTCTATAAAGGGCTCTCTCTTGTCGTTGGGTTAGACCTGCACTCCTTACAAATTAATTTATTTGTTTCCTGGGTATTTTGTTATAGGCAGTCGTGGGTAAGGCTCACAAGTTACCAACTCGAAAAAATTTATGTAAAGAAATGCCTAATGAACAATTCCTCTACTATACTTATTAACATCTCCGTGATACTCAGTAAATCATTAAGTAGTTTAACTTTTAGTAGACCCCCTGTCATGATGTACTGTATAATAGATACTTTACTAGATGAAATAAAGAAGGCACTTAGACTAAGGCTGGTATCTTCTCAGAGGATTCACTGAAGAGCAGAAGGACTATCTTCTTCTTCCTTTCTTCTGTTTTAAACCATGGCTTTTATACTTAATTAATTGGGTGTTGGTGTCGTTCTAGACGGATCCAAACCCTTAACCACAGCAAGTGTTTCTTGGCTTTTGATTGGTTGTTAACGTTGTTATAAAATTAACTATAACTGTAACTGCTGTTCCTGGGTTCTGATTGGTTATTTCTCACCAATAAGGCATTGCATCAGCTTTGGAACATACTGTCAACTCATATTTTTTTCTCTCAATTTTCTTAGAGTTTGAATCGTCCCTATCTGCATTCCTGACGTGCCTAAAACCCAGACTACTCGACCTCCGCCTGGTATGTGTTTCCTTCCATACACCCCCGCTCTGTAGGGCTCAAGTTTAGTGTTTTTGTTTCATTATCACCTTAACTCTGGACTCCTCCCTGAACGTGGTGTAAGATATTCAACGATATCTTGATAGTACACTCTAGATTCCATAATTTTCTCGTCAACCTGTCGATTTAATGGCTTCTGCTTCCTGCTGGTAAAACGAATTGCTGGTTTTTTCTCTCTTTTTTATTCATCTATACAGGCTTGGAATGTATTTCCAATTAAGCATGTGTCCCTTTGCCCCTAGTTTCTTCGTGGCTTTATTCAATGACCCAATTCGCTTACGGTATCAGCATTCAAACTCTTTTCATTAATTTGTTTGGTTAACTAATTCGTACTGTAGTTTTCTATGACATTTCGTTTTCCATAATTATTACCAACCGAATTTTATACTAAACATTTACTAATAACAGTTGTTTTAGTTCTTTTCTGTATTTACATAGCCTGTTTGCACAAGCAGCTTTGCAAACAACATCATGAACTGTAGGAAGTATCATTATTTTCTAAACTAGCTATTAATTTCCAGAAGCGGATCAAACTGGAATAATATATAAGCCTGATAGTTGGCTCTTTTCATGTGTAGCAAAAATAGGTTTACTGTTAGGGTAGCTTTGAGAATAGGTCACACCAAATATTGCTGTTGATAGAATGTTTGTCAGACCTGTTGTTACTTCTGAATTGCTTCATACTATGCCATTTTGTTTTTCTAATGAATGCACTGGTTGAATCACAACTTTAAGAGCATGTATTGCCAGTAGAATAAGGGGCATATGTTGAACTGCATCATCATGCATTGGGATGAAACGCTGTGTTGTTCTTGGGTTAAAGAAAAATTCACTTAATCCAAGAAGCTGACAACATCAGAGGCAATACACTTCTTTGTACATTATGTACTTCTAATGCATGGTAAACATCCAAGAGTCTGCTTCTTCATGGCCTCATGCAAGATACACTTTTCGCTCATCAAATAAATTAGACTGTTCTGTGATTGGTGTTGCAAAGTAGGGGTTCTAACTTCCTGCATTTGGAGATTTCTGCCTCTAGCACTCTCTCCTTAGATTTTGTTAATCTCTAATGTGTCTAACTGTCACATAAATCAGATTGTGGGCACATTGCAGAGTGAGGCACAAAGAGTCTTTCTGAGAGGCCACCAAATGTCTGCAAGGTAATCATTTATTCAAGGATTTATCTTTGGTGCGCATGTGCTGATATTTCCCATAGTCTATGTTCAGGGACTGTTCAATGGCAATAAACTTGTGAATTCTGACACCACAATTATGAGCCGTTCCCTATGATTTGTGATGGATCCTCCATAATTGTTAGCTTAACAATCATGAAATCCATCACAAGTTTATAGATCAGACAGAGGCAGATGCTGGACGACTTTGCCCATCTCTATCCAAGACATGGTCAAGACAAATAAGTCTTTCTCATAGACCAATAAAAACTGGATAGAGTAAGTGGCACTGAAGAAGTGAAGATATACCTGCATCTCTACACTGGACTATTACAATTATCTTAGTTTATATTCAGAGTCTATATATCTTGGGCTTGCTTGCATTTCATTGGCTTGTTGATAATTCCAAATGTCTTTAGTTTGGATCAAAATGTAATGAATCAGAAACCCAACTTTTCGCTTTTACAGTCTTTCAGTGATACATTTACTCAATTTTTTCTGTCCAGACTACTCAGATCATCTTGGACATTTTTTGGTATAGGACTTTGCTATAAAGTACCAAGTTCTACTTTGAAAAGGTTTGCCATTCTCTTAATAACGACACTGATGATAAGGTTTAAACTCCTTCTTCATCTTTATCTATTTGGTTCTGGACAATTCCTTGTGAAGGCTGCTAGATGTTTCAAAACTACTTATGGCGTATACCAATGATGTCATTCCTGTCTTGAAATGTTCTATAAGGTCATGATTTTTCAAAGCTTTATCTTTGGTGCACATATTTCCCATAGCATTTATTCAGGGACTCTTCAATGGCTATATCTTGCAGTATGTCACTGAAAGGTCTTCTGCTAAGAAGGATTAAAGTTTAGCTCTCAGAAAACGTTTTATGAAAGTCTGATTTCACCCACTTGGGAAATCATTCTTCTAGAAGTTTCAGTTTCCCATATGCCATAATTCAAGTGTCCAAATATAAGTACAGGGGCATCATCTCAGAGAATGTGTACACTTCCATCTCTCTGTCATCATCATGTTTAATAGCTATGTAATCCAATAGATGTTGGGATACGTTACTGGCAAAGTTATCCTCAAAAGAGAAACGTTCTGGGAAACTCCTTTTCATGTTTTGCAAAATCGCCCATCAGCTATTGCAATGACGATTATATATCTATTATATAAAAAACGGTTTGCTGCAACATATCTCTTTTCACACTGTGTTTTTATTTTCAGATCTTCCATCAGCTGAAAATATCTATGTGCTTTTAATGCTACTGCAACTTGTCATTTTAAGATAAGGAAGAATAATTTTTGGTAATCCATTTACACAGTGCTATCCACTTAAGTCAAGTCATTACCTCATTCATAAACTTGTGAATTCTGACACCACAACTATGGGCCTTTCCCTTCATGCATCGCATAATCAATGTTACCCGTGTAGGTCATTACTAAATACCACCCATTTCCATTTTGCCACTAGCAAATTCATCAGTATTATGCCATTTCTGACGTGTTCATCAACATTTTTCTGACACAGTGTACAGTGAATGACGTCACTGGACAATTTTCTTTCTTAGGGCCATTTTTTTAAATTTTCAGTGGCCTAGTTTCCATGATTTAGAGACTTGTGCTTACCTGAAAAAACATCTAATACTGTTTCTAATTTACTGCATCACTTTCAAAGCCTACATCCACCCTGATATTTTTCCCCATAGGTTTTTGTAATGTGTTCGTTCGTTGGGCAGGTTCTTATGGAAATTATATTCATGTAATAATGACAGGTTATTTATTTCCTCCTTAACGTTTGCTTTCAATTTGTAGTTGTAGCCCTTAAGTGCACAAACAACGTTTCAACAAAAATGTAACTCACAAATAAACTTACTTATAGAATTTCCTTGCTAATCGTTCGACTAAGTAAATGGACTCGATAAGTCTCACTTCTAACAATGAACAACTTTTCTGACACTGAACTCAAATTTATTAAATACTCACTAACTGGTTACTCGTATTTATAAATAATGTACTCTTGTCTCTAGATATCAAACGAAGTTTCTTGATTGTTACATCATAGTGATTAGCAGCTCCTTCTATCAAATGATTTATTATAGCCTTTAAAATATAACTTAGAACAGGATGAGCAGAAATTTTCTACCTATCCAATTGTATATGTTGACCGGAATGTAGTCCTTGCTGCTAGACTATTTGCTTGTATTGAAATATATATGTATGAAACTGAACTTATTTAAAGATGTATTAATCAATTACACTACGCCGTAATATGATAATATTGAAGGATTCAAAACAATTTCTGTTATTTTTTTGTATGTTTCTACAGGGTCCTGTCAGATCACTTAGACCAGCTGATCGCATAATGTTATTAGCAGAGACCTCTGATGACGAATTTTAAAACTTGACTGGGAACATTATATTCCTTTTTACTGGACATTACTCGAGAATGTCACCACTATGATAACATAGTCTGCAAAAGACGTTTCTTTGTCGAGTCTGTAGAAAACAACGTTGAGAGAGATACAATATCAGTATGCTGGTACTCCTTTTCCTTGCAAAATAGTGAAACTATTAAGGAAACGACTTGGTGGAAGTTATTATTTTATAATTCAGACGTAGCAATACACGTAAAGTTTAACCTGCTGCACTTATCTCTATTCTACTCGCTCCTTCAAGATACTCAGTTCAGATCGTTTCGCACTTATTTTAGCTTAAGTATTTCTTCAACAAACCGTTTTTGTTATTGGTACTTTAATAATAATCACGGGATTCATTCATTGGCAGTGTTTATACGTCTTTAGCATCAACCTAATATTTACTTAACACATCGAGTATGATTTTACCTATTTCTTTTATTACTTGGTCATTTTATATTGAGGTGTTTATTTTAAACAGCAACTTTAAAAATATTTTACTTGTACTCGAATAAGCTTAAAATTATGAGACTTGCTGTGGAAAACGTTTGTCTTTTTCCAGTTAATGAAATAAAACGTTCGGTATATCAATCGTATCGAGGTGGTTGTTTTCGCCAAACATATTCAAGAAAACAAAGTTATTTATTGTAGCCCGGCATGGCCAGGTAGCTAGGGCGCTCGACTCGCAATCTGAGGGTCGCGGGTTCGAATCCCCTCCCACCAAACATGCTCGCCCTTTCAGCCATGGAGGCGTTATAATGTTAAGGTCAATCCAACTATTCGTTGGTAAAAGAGCAGCCCAAGAGTTGGCGGTGGGTGGTGATAACGGTCTTTATAAAAATACATATATTCTAAACTGTTGTTATAAACAAATCAGTGGATAAAGAAATATATTATACCACGATATATCGCCAGTGTGGTAGACTTTAATTTTGGATTGAATTTTTGGCTACGTCTGTTTATGACACCGAAGAACATAAAAAATTATGGCATATTTAATTTTTTATGGGCTGCTCTTTTACACCCTTA